CGAACAAATCCTCCATGGCAAAGAGGTGCTCCGCCATGTTTTCACCATCCGCGAAACGTTAATCGCAGATCTGCTTCAGAAGCGAAACTTTTGAGGTTAAGGTTGCTGTTTCGTGGTGCTTCTTTATCTCGTCCCATACTGCCTTCGCTGTCTTGGCCTTACGGATCAGCCCGTGTTGGTTATCCGAGATCAGGAGGCCGATGATGGACCGAGCCTTGGAGTCCAACGCGTTCCAGGCGTCCTCGGTTTCCCCTTGCTTCTGGACGCCGAGGTCGACGCACCGCCACAAATCCTCTCGAGTGAGGAGCAATTCCACCTTAAATTTCCAGGTGGGATAATTGAAATCATTCAATTGTTGGATGTTGAACCGATTGCCATCCATTTCCGCGCGAAAACTTTCGAAACTTTGCGAAAAATCGAACAATTTTCGCGAAAGAAAAAAAAAACAAGGAATCTCTAAATGGCGTTGAATTTTCTTTTGTTCTTCCACTCTCTATCACGCACAGGCACATAACCTGTCAGAGGATTATGCGCAGCGAGAGAGTAATACTACAACGTCTGTTGTCTGGAAGAAACTAGAGTCGGTGTATAATGAGTCACGCCAAGAGTGAAGCCAAGTCTCTATTGAACTGTCAAATCGGCTACCTATCGTGCAAAGTAAATAAACATTACGATGCTATGAAAGGTCTACGAAAGGTATTGCAATGAAATATAAAATAAAATTGAAGAAATCATCATAAACACGCAGCGAGCATTAAATGGTCATGGGATACGTTTGGTTTTGATCAGTAATGAGAATTTCTACTATTTTTGATAAGATAATTTGACAAAATCACTGATATTATGATTCACTACAGCCGTTATTTTTGGTTCTCGCTAGAAGTCATTTAAAGTTGATGTAGAAGTCCTCTGTTGCCAAGTGAAAAGAAAGGGAATCCTTCGGAAACCGTGATGCGAGTTCAACTGTTTTTCTCTTGGCGTGACTCATTATACACCGACTCTAGAAGAAACGAGTAGGAACTAAAACTTTATTTTTACTGTCAGTTACATAGGGTCGTGTGCTGTAAGCTACACTGTATCAAATCTAGTAATTCAAATCATTAACTTTATTCGTTGCTGGCATGGTTGTGGCAACAAGAACAACTTCCAGAGGAAGATTGAACAACTTCTACGGGACGTTTGAACAACTTCCAGCGGAAGTTTGAACAACTTCCAGTGGAAGTTTGAACAAATTCGAGGGGAAGTTTTAACAACTTCCAGAGGAAGTTTGAACAACTTCGTAGGGAATTTAGAACAACTTCCAGAGGAAGTTTGAACAACTTCCAGGGGAAGTTTGAAACAAATTCCACAGGAAGTTTGAACAAATTCGAGGGAAATTTTGAACAATTGCTAGGGCAAGTTTGAACATCTTCCAGGGGAAGTTCGAACAACTTCTACGGGAAGTTTGAAACAACTTTCAGAGCAAGTTTGAACAACTTACAGTGGAAGTTTGAAACAACTTCCAGATGAAGTTTGTACAACTTCCAGCGGAGGTTTGAAACAACTTCCAGGGGAAACTTGAACAACTTCCAGAGGAAGTTTGAACAAATTCGAAGGGAATTTTGAACAACTTTAGGGGGACTTTGAATAACATTCAGCGCAAGTTTGAACAAATTCGGGAGGAATTTTGAACAACTTCCAGAGGAAATTTGAACAATTTCCAGAGGAAGTTCGAAACAACATCCAGGGAAAGTTTTAACAACTTCCAGAGGAAGCTTGAACAACTTCGTGGGGAATTTAGAACAACTTCCAGAGGAAGTTTGAACAACATCCAGGGGAAGTTTGAAACAAATTCCACAGGAAGTTTGAACAAATTCGAGGGAAATTTTGAACAATTGCAAGGGCAAGTTTGAACATCTTCCAGGGGAAGTTCGAACAACTTCTACGGGAAGTTTGAAACAACTTTCAGAGCAAGTTTGAAACAACTTCCAGATGAAGTTTGTACAACTTCCAGCGGAGGTTTGAAACAACTTCCAGGGGAAACTTGAACAACTTCCAGAGGAAGTTTGAACAAATTCGAAGGGAATTTTGAACAACTTTTAGGGGGACTTTGAATAACATTCAGCGCAAGTTTGAACAAATTCGGGAGGAATTTTGAACAACTTCCAGAGGAAATTTGAACAATTTCCAGAGGAAGTTCGAAACAACATCCAGGGGAAGTTTTAACAACTTCCAGAGGAAGCTTGAACAACTTCGTGGGGAATTTAGAACAACTTCCAGAGGAAGTTTGAACAACATCCAGGGGAAGTTTGAAACAAATTCCACAGGAAGTTTGAACAAATTCGAGGGAAATTTTGAACAATTGCAAGGGCAAGTTTGAACATCTTCCAGGGGAAGTTCGAACAACTTCTACGGGAAGTTTGAAACAACTTTCAGAGCAAGTTTGAACAACTTACAGTGGAAGTTTGAAACAACTTCCAGAGGAAGTTTGTACAACTTCCAGCGGAGGTTTGAAACAACTTCCAGGGGAAACTTGAACAACTTCCAGAGGAAGTTTGAACAAATTCGAAGGGAATTTTGAACAACTTTTAGGGGGACTTTGAATAACATTCAGCGCAAGTTTGAACAAATTCGGGAGGAATTTTGAACAACTTTCAGAGGAAATTTGAACAATTTCCAGAGGAAGTTCGAAACAACATCCAGGGGAAGTTTTAACAACTTCCAGAGGAAGCTTGAACAACTTCGTGGGGAATTTAGAACAACTTCCAGAGGAAGTTTGAACAACATCCAGGGGAAGTTTGAAACAAATTCCACAGGAAGTTTGAACAAATTCGAGGGAAATTTTGAACAATTGCAAGGGCAAGTTTGAACATCTTCCAGGGGAAGTTCGAACAACTTCTACGGGAAGTTTGAAACAACTTTCAGAGCAAGTTTGAACAACTTACAGTGGAAGTTTGAAACAACTTCCAGAGGAAGTTTGTACAACTTCCAGCGGAGGTTTGAAACAACTTCCAGGGGAAACTTGAACAACTTCCAGAGGAAGTTTGAACAAATTCGAAGGGAATTTTGAACAACTTTTAGGGGGACTTTGAATAACATTCAGCGCAAGTTTGAACAAATTCGGGAGGAATTTTGAACAACTTTCAGAGGAAATTTGAACAATTTCCAGAGGAAGTTCGAAACAACATCCAGGGGAAGTTTTAACAACTTCCAGAGGAAGTTTGAACAAATTCGAGGGGAATTTTGAACAACTTCCAGGGCAAGTTTGAACATCTTCCAGGGGAAGTTCAAACAACCAGTGGAAGTTTGAAAAAACTTCCAGGGGAAGTCTGATCAACTTCCAGGGAAAGTTTGAACAGCTTCCATTGGAAGTTTGAACAGCTTCCAAGGAAAGTTTGGACATCTTCCAGGGGAATTTTAAACAACTTCCAGGGGAAGTTTAGACAACTTCCAGGGTAAGTTTAGACAACTTCCAGGGGAAGTTAAGATCTGCCTGAGGAAGTTTGGACAACTTCCACAGGCAGATTGAACAAATTTCAGGGAGCAATTTTGGAAACTTCCCCTGGAAGATTGAACAACTTCCAGAGGAAGTTTGAACAAATTTGGGGGGAAGTTTTAACAAGTTCTAGAGGAAGTTTGAAACAACTTCCAGAGGAAGTTTGAACAACTTCTAGAGGAATTTTGAACAAATTCGAGGGGAATTTTGATCAATCTCTAGGGGAAGTTTGAACAACTTCCAGCGGATGTTTGAAACAACTTCCAGAGCAAGTTTGAACAACTGCCACAGGAGGTTTGAAACAACTTCCAGAGGAGGTTTGAAACAACTTCCAGAGGAGGTTTGAAACAACTTCCAAGGGAAGCTTGAAAGAACTTCCAAAGGAAATTTGATCAACTTCCAGAGGGCGTTCGAACAACTTCCAGAGGAAGTTTGAAACATTTTCCAGAGGAAGATTGAACAAATTTGGAGGGAATTTTTAACAACTTCCAGGGCAAGTTTGAACATCTTCCATGCGAATTTTGAACAACTTTTTGGGGAAGTTTCAAAAACATCGAGCGGAAGTATGAACAACTTCCAGCGGAAGTTTGAAACAACTTCCAGAGGAAGTTTGAACAAGTTCGTAGGGAATTTGGAACAACTTTTAGGGAAAGTTTGAATAATTTCCTGCGGAAATCTTCCAGGGGAAATTTAGACAACTTCCAGGGGAAGTTTGAAGATCTGCCTGAGGAAGTTTGGACAACAACTTTCAGGAGAAGTGTGGAACAACTTCCAGGGGAGGTTTGAAACAACTTCCAGAGGTAGCTTCTGAACAACTTCTAAAGAAAGTTTGAACAACTTCCAGGGGAAATTTGTACGACTCCAAGGGAAAGTTTGAACAACTTCCAAGGGAAGTTTGAACAACTTCCAGGGGAAGTTTGAACAACTTCCAGGGGAAGTTTGAACAACTTCCAGGGGAAGTTTGAACAACTTCCAGGGGAAGTTTGAACAACTTCCAGGGGAAGTTTGAACAAACATAAGGCAAGCTTATGAATATCAATAGCACAGACAAACAGACATAACGCAAGTAGTTCATCGAACAAGGATTTAGCGGACAATTTAAAAGTATCGTAGTTGGTAGTACCGCCATCTGTGGCGCGCATAGTCAATTCCCTTACGTTTGACGTTTACACACTACCGCCATCTGTTCAGCGCAGTGCCCACCACAGTGTACTCAACAGATGGCGGTAATGTTTAAGCGACGATGTTTTACAGTGAGAAATATTCAATGTGTTATGTCTGTTTTCTGTGTCAATAGTTTATTTTGTTGGGTGTGGAACTGCTCTATTGGAACTTCAACGATTTGTTCGAAGGACGTTTTGAGATCATTTCGAAGAAATTATTTAGAAGTTATTTTCCAAACTTTGTTTTCACACTTCCATAGACTCGAAGCAATTTTGTTGCTCGAAATAGGCATCATCGTTTGAACAACAGTATCTGAGCCAAATGTCGCTAATACATACATCTCTTAAAAATTTCCTTCCAGACTTTCCACAAAGCATTGATTCAACGGTCATTTTGGAACCCGGAAAATAGCGGTGCGTCGCGAAACAGCGGTAACTTAAGTTAAGCATCAAACTGAATGACAGAGACGTGCAACAGAAAACCGAAACAAATGTATTTGGCAGCGGATGAAATTTTTTTTGTACAAAAACGAATAGTCAAGACTAAACAAAATATATGATGTAAACAAAGTACTAACAGCATAAATAAATATCTTAGCGGAAAAGGATTAAACAAATCTATAGCAAACAACTTGAACAATTTGGTAAACCATATGCGATGATAATTATAATCAAGCAATTATAAATACTTCAACTATGAAAAGAATCTAAACAGCAAAAAAAAAATTGCGGAACGAAAGGTAGAAAACAAGATGATCTCCAATTTAACAAAAAAAAAAACATGTGAAAGAAGTATAAAATTTCTGATACTAATTGTAAAACATGGACAAAAAAAAAACAAATTAACGCAAACAAATATTTAGCCAATTATACCTAATTGTAATAAAAACAAAAATAAATACACACACACAAAACACATCCACACATACACTAATGGCTTCTGGTTTCCAAAACTATCTCCATAAAAATAGTATAACTCAGTAGTGAACTGAACTTTATATATTGAATCAAGCTTCTTCTAAAAGAAAATAAAGAACCCACTTTCTTACTATTGATAAAGTATTTGTAGTGAAAAACAAAATGCAAGCATCCCCTCACCAGCCCATCCCTCCCCCCCCCTCCCCACCCAAATTCGTACTATTAGCAGCTTAGTGTAACAAATTTAATCAAATCTTTAAATATATAAAAAAAAAACTGTTTTCGCTTCCTCCGGGCGCTTCGTTACTCTGACTCTGTTCCTTTATTTTTCTTTCGAAGTTTCGTTTGACGTGTTTCCTCTTTCTTTCTTTTTTGTTTGGGTCGACTTTAAGTTTAAATGGGAAAAAAAATTGCTATCTAAAACCGTTGAATTGTGTTCAAATGTCGCAAAACCAAAAGTCGGACGACTAACGTTTCGAGAATCAACCTGAAAGGTATCCTTGTTTGAAGATTGAGTTTTACAATCATTTAGGTGAAAATTTAGCAATCGTAAGAAGAAGAAAAAAAAAATAAATGTAATGCGACTGTATGTGGTTATTGTTTGTGTTAGGAACTTTTGTTTTGCCTTATTACAATTATTAAGAGGAGTTTAGGAGATAAGTAGGATTAGCTTGCAGCGCCAACAGACACGGACACAGTGATTGTGTTCTCACGGTAAGATGCGGTTTAGTGAAAAACGATAAAATCAAATTCAAATGTGAAGAAAATTTGCTAAATGCGTAAAGAGATAAGGGAGATCTTTCAACAAGACAAAAGTGAACCATATTTAAGAAATGGAAAAAAAAAATGTAAGAAAATAAAAAAAAACACTTGATGAAAAGGAATGAGAATAGGCAAGCAAACAAAAAAAAAACAACAAGCAAGCAAAATTTAATTATGTCATAAATATTACACAACAGTAGCGTACTATGTGAAGGTTAAGTGAATAATCCAATAAACGGAAGGTAAAAATTGTGTACTAAGCAGAGAGACTCTTGAACGGAAACAATAAAGAAAAATTGCAATCTACAGCAGAAATGATCGGAGGATGTTCTTGAAGATGACAAGCCGTGAACTTTGCCCGATTTTTAACATAGTTGGGAAGAACGAGGCCGAACAAGTAATATTTGGATTAGAATAATAAGAACTCTGAATATAACTCACAACTCCTCTGCACACTTATATAGTAGGGTGAAGTTTTGAGAGATCCAGGTGCAACATCTTACTTGAGGGATGCAAAATTTCCATCTCTTCGATCGAAGGGACGAACCCAACTTCTTCATCACCGGTCGAACAGAGTCCAGCTGATTTCAGTACTCCAGCATCAGTAGTGGTCACAGCATGCATGGAATCTTCCAACGATAACTATATTCCTTTTTGTAATATCTGTAGCATCTAATTAATCATATCGTCCGGCCATTTTCGACAGAGATGGCGCTATTCCGTTGGTAAGAAGTGATAAAAATCCCCATATAGAAATTGAGAGAAGTGGGAATACTTCACTTTCGGTGCATATTAAGGTCAAAAAATAGTGAACGACAACCTGAATAAATTAGTCAGGGACGTTGTCGTCCAGTTTTTTTTTCCCGGAAATTATTGTTAAACAAGCTACAATTAAATAAAAAAGGTTTTTCCCCATACAGCTTTACCTGCTTTACTACCAGTCCCCTGATAGCCAAAGAATTCAAATTTTGTAAGAGAAAATTTGCTCTCACGAACTCATTCTCTCAACACGCCATGTATTTTGATGACACTCGATTTGTGATCTCCCTTTCACAGATTACAAAATAGAGTACCTACATAGTGATGTCCGATTACTACTCGATTGATCGAGCCAATCATTAACAGATTCTGTTAAAATAATCGATTATTCAATGCCTCGATTATCTGCTAAGAGCATCTCCACCGCTAGTTCTCATTTCGGTCGTTAAGTGGGGCGTCACGCCCCGAATGGGTCTCTATTTAGTTTAGAAACCCGACAAAACTCGATTTACCACCGCTGGGTTGGTGTAATTATAGAAACTCAAACTCCCACCGCGGGTTTCCAAATAACATCTTCGTCTTGGTTTTGATTAAAGAGGCTGAATTTATTAATACGGGTCCAGATGGGGATTCCGTAGACGGATGTCGATGGGGAAAATGAATCCGTAAACGGATTCCGATGGGAATTCGTAAACACATCCCGATGGGGATTCCGTACACGAATCCCGATGGGGAAACTGAATACGGATCCCGATGAGGATTCCTTAAACGGATCCCGATTGGGATTCTGTAAACGGATCCCGATGCGCATTCCGTAGACGGATCTCGATGGGGATTCCGCAAACGGATCCCGATGGGGATTCCGTAGATGGATCCCGATGGGGAAACTGAATACGGATCCCGATGGGGATTCCGTAAACGGCTCCCGATGAGGATTCTGTAAATGGATCCCGATGGGGATTCCGTTGACGGATCCCGATGGGGATTCCGTAAACAGATCCCGATGAGGAATCTAAGTACGGATCCCGATGAGGATTTCGTAGACGGATCCAGATGGGGATTCCGTAGACGGATCTCGATGGAGATTCCATAAACGGATTCCGATGGAGATTCCTTAAACGGATCTCGATGAGGATTCCGTAAACGGATCCCTATGGGGATTCCGTAGACGGATCCCGATGGGGATTCTGTAAACGAATCCCACTGGGGATTCCTTAAACGGATCCCGATGAGGATTCCGTAAACGGATCCCGATGGGAATTCCGTAGACGGATCTCGATAGAGATTCCGTAAACGGATCCCGATGGGGATTCCTTAAACGGATCCCGATGAGGATTCCGTAAATGGATCCCGATGGGGATTCCTTAAACGGATCCCGATGGGAATTCCGTTGACGAATCTCGATGGGGAAACTGAATACGGGTCCTGATGAGGATTCCGTAAACGGATCCCGATGGCGATTCCGTAGACGGATCCCGATGGCGATTCCGTAGACGGATCCCGATGGGGATTCCGTAGACGGATCCCGATGGGGATTCCGTAAACGGATCTCGATGAGGAATCCAGGTACGTATCCCGATGGGGATTCTGTAGACAGATACCGATGGGGATTCCGTTGATGGAATCCGATGACAGATCCCAATGGGTAATCCGAAGCCGGATTCCAATGGGGAATACCAAGCCGGATCCCAATACGGAGTCCGAAGCCAGATCCTTATAGGGAGTTCTTTGAAATTTGTAGCAAGTACGCTGTATTAATTTCATGATATCATTTAAGATGTATCAATTGTAATTATAGTTAGTTTTCCAATTCGTTATCATTAGTTTTGTGTGTAGTCACGTTAAATTATTTATAGCATGAAAGCTCGTTTTTAAAATTTCAGCCTAAATGTATTCACCGCCAAGGGAGAGCCACAGTTAGAAGAGTTCCAGTAGCCATAAAATAATTCGAATGAGTTCCCTGCGCTAAGCTACAAGCGCAAAGGAAATGTCCCGATAGCCTGATAGTTTGCCTGGTATATCACTTTGATGCCACAATTTCACCGCATTAGCTTGCGGGCATCGACTCACAAGCTAATCGATTCAAAATGCGTTGACCTTTCATATTCGGTTTTGCGCACTTTTCCCGAACTTGGGAGAGAATTTGACTGGTTGATTTGAATAGGCAGTTGGAATGAGATGCCACTAATTTTGGGAGGAATTACGCGTGAGTAATTTAGAGAATCGGAAATCGTGATTTCCGCGTCATCTGAGGACGAAGATCTCCTTGCGCGGTATCTGAGGATTTCCTCAATCCTTAATCTTCCACTTTGTTCTGGTTCGTGGAAGAGGCAAGAGTGGTCAGTGTTTGATCCGTGCCGTAGTGGGTTTAAAAAGGTGTGCATAAAGTGACATGAAATCCTAATAGGGCATTTGCTAAATTAATTCTCCTTTCCCTTAGTTAGGCACAAATTAGTTACTAGTGCAAGAAGTTTGGCGGTAGTGTGTGCAGAAGGGAACATAGTCAGGTAAATCTACTGGTTAAGATAACCTTGAGGGCGTGATTGTGATTCTCCTCATGCGTGCATTGGTTTTCCTGAAACTTAATAGGTTCGTGGCTGCGCAAGCCAATTGCCGACACACCACCGTTTTCGTTACGACCGCTTTTGACCCCACCCATCAGCTACCAAGGATCCCGGGGTACACGTGGCCGGAAGAAGGACGCTTTCACCAATTTGGCGCCTTTGGCAGGCAGGCTCACCATCGCTGTATCGGTTAACAGCAACCGAACACGTGCAAACTATTGTTTCGGCGCGCAAGCAACAGCATCCGGACAATCGAGCGTATGTACCACGCTCCACGCGTAAGCCCGCGAATCGGTGTAGGAGACATCCATCAGTTCATCGCATCGATGATAGTTTCCGGACCGAAGTAGTGCGCAACGCAGCTTCGGTACCACCGCCGGTCTCCTCACCAACGCAGCAGAAAATCCTAGGTCGTGAGTACTAAAAACATGCATGTTATCCGTTAGTGTCGTCCATGGCCATGTGACTCGTAGAGGCACAAACTTATCTAGCCCGTATGTCCATTAATAAACGGGACTAGATTAGAATGAATGTCGGAATGTGAATCCACCGACAAAGTGAGTACCAACAGAAGAACCTGCACACAGTGAACACGCACATGGGAGGAAGGACATTAAACACGCGCTAGGAGATAGAATGGGAAAAAGTAAAGGGAAAGGAACAACAAAAATCTAGGCCTAGAAATACAATACGAATGTAGGGAAGTAGAGCAACAATAAAACGCTTTGTGCTATAATTGCGTTGAAATGAGAGTGGAGCTTTATATTATGTAGAACTATACAAATGTTTCCCAATAAACTGTTTTTCGTATCTATACACTGAATGTAATCCGTTGTATATTTTGAATGTTATTTGGTTAATTTCTGTTAAGGTTTTCGTGTTGCTCCGTGTTCGATATTAGTTTCTTTTGGAATTTGATGTTACTGGGAGGTCAGCCCGTTACTGACCATTTGACTGCTCTCTATTCGGAAACGGGTCAGAACTTTTTGGGATTTTGAGGCTGGGCCGGTGATGAAAAACCCCGCCAAAGTGCTTCTGGTACTCGGTCGTTTCTATTGATAACCTCGTGTACGTGTTTTGAAGATTAGTGGCATCCACACGTGTCACGTGAAGTACAGTGGACGTATTTAAGTCGGCCAGTCAGCTTCCTTCCCCTTTTCGGGAAAATTGATCCTCCCCTAAGGAAGGTCTCATAGCCGGGCAACGCATTAGCTTGTTGGATGGTCTCCTTTTGGAGTGACGCATAAGCCATCCAATTATCAAAAAGGGGAAGCTCGACAGGCTGGCGGGTTACAAATTCTCGGGTGCTCCTTGGGAAGTTCTTGGAACTTCTTGGGATGTTCTTGAAACTTCTTGGGACGTTAAGCAAAATAACCATACAAATTTTATTAGGGAGTTCTTTGAACTTCTTGGGAAGTTCATGAGGAGTTCTTGTGAACTGCTTGGAAGTTCTTGAGATCTTCTTGGAAGTTTTTGGGAACTTTTTTTTGGAACTTATTGGAAGTTTTCGAGAACTTTTTGGGAGTTCTACGCAACTTCTTGGGTACACACTTAGATTATTTTACCGAAATCTGTGTAATTTTACCGAAATCTCAACAGCTGAACGTCCGGTAAACAGTTCGGTGATTTTTCACAGATTTTCTGTGATTTTTCACAGGTATTCTTTGAAAAATTACAGGAAGACTGTGAAAAATCACCGAATTGTTTACCGAACGTTCAGCTGTTGAGATTTCGGTAAAATTTCACAGATTTCGGTAAACTAATCTTAGTGTGTACTTCTTGGAAGTACCTCCGAGCTTTTTGAATGTTCTGTCAAGAAGTTCGGACATCTTTCAAGAACTTAACTTTAACCTAACTTACACCATACTTTAACTTAATATTAAAATAAATTTACCTTAAGTTTGACTTAATTTTACCTTACAAAGCACTTTCAAGAAGAATCGAGAGGTTTCAAGAGGTTCCAAGAACATTCAATATGCTCCACGAACTGTA